GGTTTAAGTCCCAGCCCTTCCACTTCTTGGCTGTGCAGATCCTGCTTAACTTCTAGCCCTGAGCTGTCTCTTGTGGGCCACAGGGTGACTCTATTAGCTCCCCAAAGTTGTCACAGGGTTAAATTAGTTATTCCATCTAAAAAGAGTTGGAACACAGCTCAGCCTTAGTACATGCTCAGAATGCCTATACACAGTATGTGCTTCATAAATGTAGCAAAACAAAGGAAGGAAACCCCAAAAGAAAACACTTTCATTGTCCAATTGGGAATAAAAATTGAAAAGATAAGTTAAATTGGGTCCAGATTTGACTAAAAATAGCAACAAAAAACTAACCACTCTTAAATTCAATTGAACTATGTATAAATTTTTCTGGGCCTAAACATTTTTTTTCCTTTGTTTAAAAATGAAATCTATGTTTAAGGCCCAGCGATTACTCGGAGCATCATATATGCTGGTTTATAAGTTAAAGTAGTCTTTCTTTCTCTTCTCCTGGGCTCTTTTCTCTCCCTCCTCCCCCTCCCCCTTCCTCTTCCTCTTCTTCCTCACCCCCTCTCTTGTCTCTTCTTGCTAGGGAATTATTAAATATTCTCTTCTATGAACTGTTACCTTGGGATACCCAGCATCTAAGAGAAGTGAACACTAAATTGGGTGCTGGAGAATCATGCCTCTTGGTCTTTTTTTGATCTTTGCATCCCTGGGTGGCCCCTGGCCTGCCTTGCATTGTTCCAGATACAGCAAATAAAAATATAGACACCCTAAGACATTCATATTTCAGGTAAACAACAAATAATTTGTTAGTGTATGTCCTGTGCAATATTTGGCTGCCCAAATATTACTAGGGTGTCCTGTGTTTACTGTGGCAATCTCACTGGAGCCTCCAGGACAGGGCCGGCCTCGTGCTGTGGCTCAGGCCCTGCTCAGTTGACTGCTCTGCCCTTACTGTCTGAAATGCTCAATCATTTTTTGACAAAAGGCTCCCCATTTTAATTTTGTATGGGATCCTCAATTATGTAGCTGGCCCTGCTTCAGCCTTGGAAACAAACTCTCCTTGTTAGACTTTTTTTTGGGGGGGATACTGGGGATTGAACTCAGGGGCACTTGACCACTGAGCCACATCCCCAGCCCTGTTTTGTGTTTTATTTAGAGACAGGGTCTCACAGTTGCTTAGTGCCTTGCTTTTTCTGAGGCTGCCTTTGAACTTGCAATCTTCCTGTCTCAGCCTCCCCAGCTGCTGAGATTACAGGTGTGCACCACCCTGCCCAGCCCTTGTTGGACTTCTTAATCCAAGTCTCACTGTACCTGGCATAAAGCAGGGGAATACTTAGTGTATAGAAATGCTGGTTGCCTCCTAGATGTCTTGAAAAGTGATTTGACTTAAAACCACTTTTATTGGTGTTACACAGTCCGTGCTGCATGATGCATATGACGTTGATTATGAACGTAGGCTTCTGATGTCATCATTCTGCACAGTTGCCACACTCATCGCTTCCAAATGTCAGCTACAGATGAACTTGATTTCTCCTGCAGATGGGGCCTTCCTTTAAAGAGAAGGTGGTGGCTGTTCTCGTTGCTCAGGTGACCTCTAGTTCTCTTAAGGAAAGGGCTCCATCAGGCTGAGGTTGTGACTCAGAGGTAGAGCACTCACCTACCATGCGTAAAGCATGGGTTCGATCCTCAGCACCACATAAAAATAAATAAAGATAATGTGACAACCTATAACTATAAATAAATAAATAAATAAAACTTAAAAGAAAAGAAAGAGCTTCTGAGCAGGTATACCAGAAAATGAAGAATTCGGGACCAGAAAACCATAGAAACAGCTGCAGAGGCATCCCCCAGGAGAGAAAGCACATCCCAGATCGTCTCAAGGAAGTCTGGCATGCCCTAGATCCCAGCCTTAGCGGAGGATGTAATCACTGCAAAAAAACTAACGTTTCATTTTTAAAAAGGACTTACTCTGAGGTTCATTTTAACTCATGAAATATTGACTACAACTAAAATTCCCATGAATAAAAATGTTAGTGAGTTTCCTGGTTTTGACAATCACTTTTGTTATATAGGAGATTATTTTTGGTGGAATCTAGGTGGTGGTGGCTAGAGAGGATGTCTTTGTAATATTTTAATTTTGCAACTTCTGGTAAGTCTGATAATTTAAAATAGAAAGTTAACGTACACACACATGTGTTTGTATGTATGTGTGTGTGTGTATATATATATATACACATACATATGTGTCATATGTGTGTGTATAACCAGTATGCTATAATGCTATATTCAGTAATACATCTAAAAGATAAAAACAAATGCCTCTTCCCATTGCAAGCTCTGTCTAGATGCTCCCTGATCTATTTTTGCCTCCTCCTGGTAGTTTGTCTAAGTCCTGGGTCTAGAGATGGCAACCTAGACCTCATGGTAACTGATGGTTTCAGTCACTTACCTTTCATGATGGGGCCTCGACAGCAGAAAACACCTCCTCTTAAAAATCATGTTGGCTTGTCTCATGACCTAAAAAAGAAGCAAACACCCCCAATGGGTTATCTTGTCATGTAGGCCAGGACCCAGCTTCTCTCAAATTAGCACCTGAACTTGATTGTTATGTCATTCTAATTTTAATACTAATTGGAGTGAGCTAATTTTCCCAGTTTAAGTTGCTTAAATCAGAAAGGTGGAAATGACCATGAGGGAGATTTTAAGGGATGGAATGTACCAGATGAGATTCTGAAAACAGGAAGAGGACTCCTCAGCTCCCAACTCTGTGGTGCCTGTCTGGGGATACAAGGAGGGACACTTGACCCTCCCAGTGCTTAGCTTCTGGGTGGCAGGTAGACCACACACCAGCAAAGAAGTGGTGCTGTGTCCTCAGGTAGCAGCAATTGCTACCAAGAAAAATGGAATGAGAGAAAACTATGGAGGATGGAAATCAGAGAAAGTCATTGCTCAATGCTTGGAATAAGGTTGCTTTTATGGAGGTTTTTTTAATAGAGAGAGAAGGGTTGGAGCATTATACACCTAATAGATTAGCAGGAATAAAGAAGTGGACATGTCAATCCTGGTGAGAAATTAGTGAAGCTGAACTTGACTGCCATATCACGTTAATTTCAGCCCTAGTTAAAGTTCATTCCTTTTCCTACTTTCCCCACTGTTGGCAGTGTTTGATTTTCACACTTATTTTGTATAGCAACAACCATAAAAAATGTTCTTATTCTTTGATGCGTATTCAGTGACGTGCAATCCCATGGGATCTAATGCATTACCAGAGATACCTAGTAACACTCCCTTTACTATCCTGAAATAAAATCATGGATCATAAAATCCCTCTAGAGACATAATTTTCAGAATTCGAGGCAATACTTCAAAGAAATCAAAGAGAAATAATTTATAATAAAGCAAAAAGAAAAATCACGGTAAGACATTCCCGTGCCTGCCTCCACACACAGGATTACCAAGGCAACCTCAAATGGGGACTGAAGCCCAGGCCTAAGGACCCTTGGCAGCAGGGAACGTTGCAGGTTTCCATGGAAATGGGAAAGGAGAGAATGGCCAGAAACACCTGTATCTTCATGGGGAGGGGAGTTAATCCTTCCATGGCCCTGGGACTAGAGAGCCTGACAGCCTCCGTGTCACTGCGTCAGGCCCTGGGCTCTCACTAGCCTGCTACTTATCTGGATATATTGATGTCAAGGTTATTGACAGTGTAAAATTGGAAAGAACCTAAGTGTCTTACTGAATGGGAAATGTTTAATTAGCATGATTTATTCAAACAAAGAACACTATATAGCTATTAAACAGCTAAGTAGAATCCTATATAGCAATGCAAACCCAAAATACCACATGATATACTATTAAATGATAGCATATATAAAATTTTATATAATTTCTATAAAACCATTTATACAGTGAATAAGGGAATTCTAAAAATAATAACCAAAAGAGAACGAACTAGCACTCTATTGATTAGTTAATAAATCACCCCAAACTTAGTACTTTGAGACAACAGTTTGTTAGCGCATAGTTCTGTACACCAGCAGTTTGGGCTGGGCTTACTCTTGGGGAGGCTGGTTGCAGGCAGCTGGGTCAAGGTAGCCTCACTTGCGTCAGTCTGTCAGTGAGTGAGCCATAGACATCTTTGAACAAAAACCATGCAGTATTTTAGGCCCGAATTGTATCTTTAAAGCTGCTGACGGGGCGGGGGGGGGGGTGGTATAGATGGCTTAATTTGGACAGTTTAATACTATTCTCTAAAGGCCTAATTAATCAGAGAATGTCAAAGGCAAAGAAGAGAACAGACTGGCCATCTGATCTGCAGAAGGCAGGCAGCTTTCATCGGACATGTCAGTGAAAGTATTCGGTTCCAGGACCAATGTTGAGGCTGAGGCAGGCAGGAGGCCTAGCTAGTTAGAAGTCAGCTGTGGGGGGAATCGGAGTGGTGGGTAAATGTTGAGAGCCGCAGCTGGAAGTTTGCTGGGGATACAAACTTCCAGCTGCCAGCTGATGATTGGCTCACAGTGGCCCCAGCAAACTTCTAGCTGCCAACTGATTGGCTCCTCTGCGGTGATGCTCATTGGGCTGTTTCCCCGCCCTTTTAGACCACGGAGCTGCTCATTGGGGGACTTATTTTGGTTCCGCCCACGTGACCCAGCCAATAGTCCTCAAGAGCAGGAGGAGTGGGGGAGGTTGAGAGGCTTGTGGGAAGCCGGTGGCGGCAGTTGGGCTCTGAAGGTTTTTCCTGAGGAGCTGTGTGGTTTGGTGTGTGTGGTTCTAAAAATAAAGTTCGTTTCTTTTGACAAGTGGCTCCTGAATTGTGCCCAGCCAGACTGCGGCATTTAAACACGAGGCATTTGCCATGGGCACTGGAGGTCCCTGGAAGGGAGGGGTCTTTCTCTTGATTCCTTCCAAGGAGTTGCTCATAGGGAGTCTGCTTTATCCAGCGGCAATATTTACAGGTGCTCTGGCCTCTCTACCTTTCTGAGCATGGCTGATGAGGACTGAACTCTGCACAGGTGGTGGCCCGGGAACTGCTGGCTCAGTACACCAAACAGCAACAAGACCATCCACTCTCTGGCCTGCTGTGGAGCTGGGTGGCGTCTGTGAGTGACAAGCTGAGGACCAGGTATGTGTATCGCTCAGGGTGTCCTTGTCACCTGCCTTCAATATCTTATTATCCAACCTAAGTTTGCAAAATCTTGACATGCTCAACTTACTCTGGTGTGAAATTTTTTACCATCTAATGTACACAAAAATGTGAATATGTAAATTGAATGCTTCTGCAACCTCTGACCAATGTAAGAATTCAGACAATGCTGATTTTCTTCTTTCTCCTCATGCACCTTCTTTCTCCTCATACACCCACTGCTCCTTTTAACCCTCAAGCCACATTAAGTAGGTTTTTATTTCCATTTCATCAATGAGGAAACTGAGGCACGGAGGTTAAGTATTTGCTCATGGTTGCATGGCTAATGAATGGCAGAGCTGGAATTTGATGCTACACGCAGGATACATGGTTTCAGGATGTTTTCATCATATTTATCAGTTTTTTTATCTTAGCATTGTCTGTAAGTTCTGAAGATAAGGCATAATATATGCTATATCAGGGACTTCCTGTTTTCGCTCAATATTTTGTTTCTATGGTTTACCCAAGTTGTTATATGTGGCCAAGAATTGTCATAACATCACAAAATAGTCCATCATATATATATATATATATATATATATATATATACACACATACATACACCATAATTGGCTAATCCATTCTAATCTCCAGTATTTGCAGACCCTATAGGTGTTTGCAACATTTTTATATTTTGCACAAAGTTGTTACAAAAAATCTTGCTCATGTTTTCTGGGAAACCCACAAGAGTTTGTACAGGGCTTTCAAACGTAGTTGACATGATCTAGAGTCAAAAATGCATTTCAATCATCACAACACCCAGAGCACTCCACCCCAGACAACTGAAGCAAACTTTCCAGGAAACAGTGCCGACCTGTCCTGCTACTCATGATACTGTCTGGTATTTTTAAATTTTATTTTTTAGAACATTGGATAGCAATCTTTTAAATGGATTTCATGGCCCATCAGTGATTTGCAACCTGTTGTTTGAAAAACATTCCTCTAGGGTAGATATCACCCAGAAGTGGGCTTGTTATTGTGGAATATGCCAATCTTCAACTTTACTAGACAGTGACAAGGTATTTTTCAAAGTGGTTTTACAAGTCTACCCTCTTACCAGAAGCACACATTCTGTAGAGCCACAGCCGATCCTCCCCAGCACTTGATTTTCTTAACAGATTTCCTAAGTTTTCTCAATGCAACATAAAAAATGATCTCCTATCAGGATTTTAAATCGCATTTTCCTTATTACTTCTAAGGCATACCGTGTTTTCCCCTCTTCATTTTCCTTATGTTTTTCTTCTTTGATGAAATGCCTCTTCATGTTTTTGCCCAATTTTTTTTTTCTATTTTGTGTGTGTATGTCTCATCTTAATGATTCTGAGGGGTTCTTTTTTCTATGTCATTATAGATGCTACAACTATCTTTTCCCAGTTAGTGGCTTTTCTTATACTTTCTTTGTGGTATCTTTGGATGAATGCAAATTCCTGAATTATAACAATTTAAGTTAAGATTATAAATTCTTAAATTATAATTCACCCTTTTCTTTGATATTCAACACTGTCTTTATTGTCATGAAATATGAATTTTTTTGTTTTGAGAGTTTCACATTTCATGTTTAATTCCTGAATTCATTGGAAAATTTTGCATATGCTTTGAGGAAGGGATCTAATTCCATTTTTTTCTCAATTTTTGGAGTTGTTTGTTGTTCCAGTGCCATTTAATAAACTAACCATCTTGACCTAGTTATTGGCAATACTCACTTTGGCATTTGTCAAATTTCCATACACATGTGGGAGTCCATTTGGGGGTTATTTTGTTCCTAGAGAGATTGTATATTTTTGACACAACAAACAGGTTATAATTACCCTGTCTTTATGATAAAATATTACTCCATTATTATATCTGAAACACAATTTAGAATTATGTATTTCCCTATAGGTACACACACACACACACACACACACACATATATATAAATTACGTATTTAGAATTTTGTATTTCCCTATAGGTATTGATATCAGTTTGTCAAATTCCTCCAAAAGAAAACAACAGTCTTGTATACTAAAGGCAGTGTTGTAAGACTGAATGTATATTATTATGATTGGATGTAAGGTGTCCCCCAGAAGCTCATGTGTGAGACAAAGCAAAGTTTAGAGGAGAAATGGTTGTGTTATGGGAGCCTTAACCCAATCAGTGAGTGAATGCCCTGACAGGATGAACTAAGTGGTACCTGAATGTAGTAGGGTGTAGCTGGAGGAGGGAGTATTGGAGTGTGCCTTTGGGTATATATTTTGTATCTGGCAAGTGGAATCTCCCCCCCGCCCCCACCACCCGCCACTTTCTGATTATCATGTGAGCTGCTTCCCTCCACCACACCCTTCTGCCATGAGGAATTGAGACAGCTGCCTATGGATTCAGACCCCTGAAACTGTGAGCCCCTAATGAACTTTTCCTCCTCTACAATTGTTCTGGTTGGGTCTGTTAGTCACAGCAGCAAAAAAGCCGAATAAAACATGTATGAAGTACCCAGAGTACTCAAATTAACAAAGATAGAAAATTGATTATAGGGGCTAAGAGAGATGTATAGCCATTGCTTAATGGATCCAGGTTTCAGTTTAGAGTGATGAAGTCCTAGAAAGGAATGAAGGATCCACCAAAATGATTAACATGACAAATGCTTCCATATGTTTATTTTACCACAGTTTTGAAAACTTGCTAAAATTTTCCTTGAAATGTATTCAATCTATGGATTTGCAGAAAATTTAACATGTAAATACTTTTCTTATTTATTTTGTAAATAAAACAGATATTTTTTCTCAAAGGTTTTAATCTTCTAAGAATCTTCTAGGGTTGTACAATTTTACCCGTACATAGTATATCCTCTGATAGATTTTTAAAAAATATTTATCTTTAAAAATTTTTTTTTCAGTTGTAGATGGACACAATACCTTTATTTTGTTTATTTTTATGTGGTGCTGGGATCAAACCTAGTGCCTCATGCATGCACGGCAAGTGCTCTACCCCTGAGCCACAACCCCAGCCCCCTTTTGATAGATTTATCATTGTTTTGTTGTTGTTAAGAGAATTTTTTAACTCTATTTTTGCTGTTGCAGTTGACTTTTCTTTCTTCTTCTTCTTCTTCTCTCTCTCTCTCTTTTTTTTTTTTTTTTTTGTACCCTGGATTGAACCCAGGGGCGTTTAGCCACTGAGCCACATCCCCAGACCTTTTTATTTGTTTAGTTTTTATTTTGAGATAGGGCCTTTCCAAGTTGCTGAGGCTGGCTTTGAATTTGTGATCTTCCTGCCTCAGCCTCCAGAGCTACTGGGATTATAGGCCAGTGCCACCATGACTTGCTGCAGCTGGCTTTTCTAAATAAATCTGACTGTAAAAATTTTCTTCCAAATGTATCTATAGATTCTTTGGTTCCCCCCCACAGGCAATCATACCATCTGCAAATCATGATTTTCTATTTCTTCCTTTTCAGTTGTTTTTCTTTTATCCTTTTCACATCTTACTGCAAGGCCAGGAACTTTGGTGCAATTGGATTAGAAGTAGACACAGAAGGTGTTTGTTTGTCTAGTTCCTGGTTTAAAAAGATGAGTTTCACTGTTAAAAATGTTGGCTGGAGCTTTTGCTAGATACGCTTGTTACCTAAAGAAGCTCCATTTCTTATTTTTAACACATTTGCGTTATTATAGATGATGAATTTTTCAAATGAATTTGCATTTATTGAAATGATCCTACCTTTCTGTATTCTGTTAATTTGATAAATGACCTGTCAGTCTCCTGGTGCTGAACTACCCTGACATTCTGGGGAGATCCTTGGCTTTCTCAGGCTGCGTTATCATCTTCATGTTCCTGGGGCTTGGCTTATTCGAAAGGGAGCGGTTTTATACTTATTGGCTCATAATTTTCCGTTCTTCAACGTCCCTGGTTTAGATTTGTGTCAAGGTTTTACTAGTCTCCTGGAGCTAGTTTGGGAGTGCTTTCTCATTCTGTGGAAGAATTCAATTATTTGAAAATGATCTGCACTTGGGGGAATATTTTAAACTATCAGTTTAATTCATTTCATTATTTTAGAACTGTTTAGGCTTTTCCTCTTGTGTAAGTTTTAGTAATTGTACTTTTCTGGGAATTTATCCACTTGGTGCAAGGGTTTTCATACTATTCTGATTATCCTTTGAACTTCTGCGGGATCTGTGGCTACGTCCCCTTTGTCCTCCATAGAATTATCTCCAGCACCTTCTCGCTTCTCTGCTGCTGCTGCTCAGTATCACCAGATGAGTTTTGGTTTATTGTTACTATTATTATTATTTTTCAGACCACCGACTGTTCCCTTTGTTGATCCTCTCTGTTGTACCTTGTTGTCTATTTCATCTTTTTACATCTATAAATATGTCATCTCTTTCATTCTACTTTTGGAGAGCTTACTGTGTTTCTTTTGTGTATTTTTTAAAATATATTATTTTTTATTTGGAAGCAAACACAAAATGATTACTCTCTCAATCCCAATGTATTGAGCTAATTTCCAGAGGATCTATTCATGAGACAATACCGTAATGCAGTCCTGATTAAAAACATGGAAAATACAATAAATGTTTATATGGGACTTTTCGTAACCATGGGGGCGAAGTGAAATTTAGAAATCCATAGTCCCTTCTCTTCTTTCTATTTAAAAAGTTGCTGCTCAGGCTTCTGTTTATTCCAACCATGGTTTATCTTAAAGCTTGAAAACACGAGTTCCCACATCCCTGGACTATTTTGCTGAAGTTTCTGTTAGCTTTATGTCTCAATTGGTTCTCGCACACTGAAGAAACTCGGTGCATCTTTTTAAACATTTCTAGCCCTGAGTGGGCATTGTATAGCACTGATGGTTTTCTCTCCAACTTATTAGTTTGAAAATTTTCCAGTATAGGAGGAGTCAAAGGACTCGCACAGTTCTCCAGCAGAGTTGGTTTCTTCCTTTCAGGAAACTTGTTCCCCAACTGGTCACAAATCATCTGCTCTTTCATTTCTTTTCCAGAGAGCACAGCAGGGCTTGTTTCCATCATTTGGAAAGCACGACGTACTCTCACACATATGCAAATCTATATTCCTAGCAAATTTTCCAGGACAGATTTGAGATGTGCCAAAGGCAGTATTCCAATTGTAAATATTTGGAAAGTTCTAGCCCATTTATTTTTGTCTCAGTTATTAACCTCCAAAACAGTACACATGGCTCCCCCACACATCCGGGTCCTGCTCATTCACTCCCTCTGTGCTTATCTACTTAAATCCCCACGCTTTACTTACCCTGATTTTTACGTGAAGGAAGGAATTGTCATGGACACATTTCCAGCTCTCTCTGTCGCTGGCCACTGCCCCACACTTGGACACAGCAGGACCTGGGCTGAAACCCCTCCAAGTGAGCAGCCCTTTGCAGGGCCACCCAGAGGCTACCCCTCATTTGGGCTGTGAGGGGATTAGTCTTTGTCCTAGAAAGACCCCATGAGACCAGGTGCTGCTTGGCACCTGAGAGGGCAGTCCCTGGCTCTGCGGACAGCGCCACTCCACCCCTGCTCATCCCAGGGAATGCGGCCTCCCTCTGTCCCCAGGGAGCCTGCCACTGTCCTCCTCACTGCTCTCACCAGCCCAGGGATCCCAAAGAGGTGGTGAGTGTTGAGCAAAGTCAAGATCCTGTCCTGCACTCCTGGGCCTTTCCATATTATGAATATTTTCAAATATTCAGCAAAGTTGAAAGGCTTTTACAGTGTGTCTTTCGCTGGGTGTTGGGGGGAACCTGTCATGGAGAGGCTACTGTGAGCACATAACTGTTCTTGCCAAACCACCATCACACATACACAGTCACGTGCCACTCGATGACAGGGACGTGCACTGAGAAACACGGCGGCTGGCAGCCTTGCCGTAGTGTGAACATCGCGGGGCACTGTGTGAACCTTTTGGTAGGTCTGGACCCAGCAGTGGCCTTGGGGCAGTGAGAGGCAGGAGGCCCCTGCTGGTGGGACTACACATGCACAGCAGCTGACTTTCCACGGTGCACCCAGACAGCTGTGAGAACGTAGGAGAGCAAGTCCGCAAGCCAGGACCAGAGGTTTCCCACCAGGATCCAGGATTGGGTACTGCACATGGTAATATGTGCTTTTAAAGGACTGGCAGGCGGCACATGTGTTTACACCAGTGTCCCCACACACGTGAGTGATGTGCTACAGCCTTATGATGGCTGTGATGTCACTAGGCCACAGGAATCAGCTCCACTGATGCTGTGGGATAATCAGCTAGGCAGTCCATCATTGACTGAAATGTCCTCATGCAGCACATGACCATTTCTCCATGCATCAGTCCCTGGCTCCTGTGTCCATTCTCCTTCTCCTTATGATGCATTTCAAGGTAAACTGCAGGCATGGCCAGATCTCTAAATAATCCAGCAGGGACATCATTCACTCAAGTTCAACATTTGGCTGTGGTTCTCTTTGTTCTTCTGCAGAAAATTTACATGCAGTGAAATGTACATTTGTTCTGCATTCACTGAGTTTTGATAAATGCACACCTCTCTGGAACCAACACTCCTGTTAAGGGCTAGTCCATCACTGATCACTCCAGAAAGTTCTCTCTGTACCTCTCAGTCAATGACCACCACTCCAAATGAAGCCATCACTCTGATATTTTCCCATTGCAGGTGAGATTTTCCTGTCCTAGAAGTTCACATAAGGGGAACATAGAGTCTGACCTCCTTTGCAGTGGGCTCAGGAACCCCGCAAGATCCTTTTGGAGATTCTCTATGGTATCACGTGTCTTTGTCCTTTTGATTGCTGAGGAGTGGTATTTTACTTCATGGATTCTCTGGGATTTGTTTTCTATTCTCTCATGATGAGTAGACACCTGAAATGTTCCCACTGGGTGTTCCAGTACAGTAAGTAGAACAGCCATGGACACCTCTAGTAAGCCTCTGTGAACACTTGTTTTGTCTCTCTTGGGCAAATACGTGTGGAATCACTAGTTATAGCATAGGTATTTGTTTAGCTGTATGAGAAATGGAGAGAATTTCTCCTGAAGGGCTTTACCATGGCAGAGGTGTGAGGCTCCAGTCTCTCTACATCCCTAGCGACATTGGATGTCCGTGTCATTAGTCATCCTGGTTTATGTATATTGCGACCTCACTGTGGCTTTCATTTGCATTTCCCTCATGACCCATAATATGCATTTGCATATAATCTAAATTTTATTTAAATATAGAGTCATTTCACCTCCTTATAAAACACAGTGACGAGGAGGTTGCCTTTAGCTATATTCCTATTTTTCACACTAGACGAGTTCCTAGGGCTGCATGTGTGGTTGGGCCTGACACAGGACTCGGAGGGCCCGGTAGGCGAGAGCCTGTCGCACAGCAGTTTGTAACCTCAGGTCGGCAAATGCTGGCGTGCAGCGAGCATCCCAAGACACAAAGGCAGTCCTAACAACAGCACTGACAGCCTCTAGGTCTCATAGTGACAGTCCCAGAAAGACTAAAGCCTGCTTTTCAATTCACTAAGAGTTCTTTCTGCCTTCTGAGAAATAGACAAGCAGAAACTCAACCGTCTGAAGCCCAGATTTAAAATAAGCATTCACAAATAGTAATTTGAATTTCCTGATAACTGCACATAAATAACTTCTACTTGCCTTCCCTGTCTAAATGGGTGATTATTAATTCAGAATTTGGCGTTCTCCAAAGCACTGTATCAAAAGCGTCTCAGAAGTGCTTCTTGAAGTTTCTCTCCTGCCTCTGATTGTCAACAACAGCTACTTGAGTCTTTAATTTTTAATGACTGGGAACCTAAGTTATTTGGGTACTATAATAATAATTCACTTCCCCAGAATGTGGGAAAAAGGGAGGGCCAGATGTGGCTGTGCTCTGGGGACCCTACGTGAACTAACCCCTCACCTTTCTATAGAAGTTATCTGCAAGGTTCAGGGGGAGGGCCACAAAATTAGCCCAAAAGGCAGAGTTGATGGGCAAAATCTCATGGGGTGACAGTTTTGAGTCTGTTTGTGATTAAACCTTTTAACTCCCTGTGACTCAGTTTCTTAATTTGCCAAATGGGGAGAGTGGAAATTACTACCTGATGAAGAAAGTAACATCATTCTTTTTTTATTTCCTTTTTTGGTATCAGGGATTGAACCAAGGAGTGCTCAATCACAGCCCCACAGCTCCACAGCCCCACAGCTCCACTGCCCCACAGCCCAGCTCTTTTTTATATTTTATTTTGAGACAGGTCCTTTGCTAAGTTGCTTAGGGCCTCACTAAGTTGCTGAAGCTGGCTTTGAACTTGTAGTCCTCCTGCCTCAGCCTCCCGAGCTGCTGGGATTACAGGCATGTGCCACCATGCCCTACTGACAGTCTCACCATGAATCATTAACTTGCCCTTGCCCAAGCCCTGGAGGGCTCCTCTCCCTCAAATACTGGTGCTCCCCAGGATAGAGCCGAGCTTGATGGTGTTCTGCCTTTGTGCTCTCACCAGGTTACTCCATATTTCTGAGCCTCAGTTTCTTGAGATATGTTCTAGTCAGCTTTTTTTTTTTCTCTGTTATGAACAAAAGACCTGACAAGGACAATTTTAAGGAGGAAAAGTTTATTTGAGGGGTTACGGTTTAGAGGTCTCAGTCTGTAGATGGCCGACTCCATCCTTGGGGCTGGAGGTAAGGGAGGACATCAAGTTGGAAGAGCATGTTGGAGGAACATGGCACCAGGAAACAGAGAGAGAGAGAGAGAGCTCTCCTCGCTACAACAAAATATATACCCCAGAGGCACATCCCAGTGACCCACCTCCTCCCCCACACCCCACCTGCCTACAGTTACCACCCAGTAATCCCTATCAGGGGATTAACTCACTGATTGGGTTAAGGGTCTTGTAACCCAATTATTTCTCTTCTAAACCTTCTTGCATTGTCTCACACAGGAGCTTTTGGGGGCCACCTCATATCCAAACCACAACAAGCTGTAAGTTGGATAATAACTCCACATCTGAGAATTTTTAGACTATCAAAAAATTAGCAGCCAATACTTATCACAGATCCTGATATGTAATGTATTTTATAAATGTTATACTTTGTGACCTAGACATATATATTTGATTGCATATTTATTTATTCAATTGCAATATTTATTCAATTGCAATATTTACTTATCAATGATTGAATATATTATCACCTGATATAAATTATATAGCTGTTAATATAGACTCTACCAAGTATTGAACATTACTTATACCACAGTAGTTAATGGTAAGAATAGAAAACCAAATAACCTCTATACCACAAAACAAAAACATAGAATAAACTAGAACCAACCATTTACCAGAAAAATACTAAAAAGAAACACATGTATAATCAGTGAGAGAAGGGACAGGGAGAGGATGTGTATTTACACTGCTTTCTCCATGGAGAAGAAAAAAAAATGGAAAACACGATTTCTTTCAAATGAAATTCTTTGGTGAAACCAAAATAATAACGGTGGCCATTGTGTTTCTCTTCCAGTTTCCTGGCATTTAATACGGATGCAGTTGGTAACCTCGCTTTTCTGTTGAAGGCCGTGAATTTCCGCGAGAGGGTTCTTCAGCGGGGTTTGGTGGCCAGAATTTATTACAAGGTAAAGATCAATCATGTTGTATTTCTTCCTTTTGACTCGTGTTTGAGGCCCTCCTAGCTGGTGAGCTAGCTGCTAAATTTAGCAGAGGCTGAGTCAGCTTAATTACAGGCTTGGGAAGGGCCAGCACCCCCGTTTAACCCCTGCGTGTCTTTTACCGACCGTCTACCAGCGTCATTCGGCTGCCGTGGGAGGTGACGAGTGGGGTGATTTTTAAACCCTTATTGAATTGAAAAGTCATTGTTCCACACGAATGACAAATATATTGCTCTCTGGGGGAAAAGGTTTATCAGTTAACGTAAAGATTAGCATCGTCTTAGTTTCAAGTACCCTTTTTCCTATGAATCTGCAAAACATCATCCTTTGTATAAACGCTGGTGGGAATCCAGAGGGAATATCCATCATGTGCAATACTGGCAGGGTTGGTCTGAGGAAAGGTAACCCCACCCAGCAAAGTCCAGTTGTCCTCGACCCAGCATAAATAGCCAGGAGACCCTAGGCGAAGGCTTTGCTCACCCGATGTCTGTCTTGGCTCTGTGTCCAGGGCTTAGCATGCTGTAGCCAGAACCAGGCCCCTGCTCTCCCTCTGCACAGGAATTAGGTACCCAGGGGTCAGAATTGGGTGCCTGCAACTCTCCTGCTCTGGTTCCTCTCTTTTTATATCAATTACACTGTCTGGTTTCCCAGCACAGAGAGGGTAGGAAGGAGAGGGTAGGCAATGCCTGGGGACGGATGTTCTCTCACAAAATACTCTAGAGGCAGAAGAGTCCTGGAAGCAGCCCGTGGTTCCTTGTGGAACAGAGTCACATTGGGTGAGAACCTGCTGGAAGCAGAGCTGTGGGCTTCCAAATCAGTTCGCCCTCCAGGCATCCATCTGAGCTGAGGCTCTGCCAGACCACAAGGGCACAATCAGATGGGTGCAAGTAGCTGCATGTCCCCTGGCCTTATCACACATGAAACCAGCCAAATATTAGAGAAGAATTTAATCGAAGCAAAAATGCTGTACTTGGAGAAGTACATGGAAGACAAAGAAGATGAATAAATGGCAGAAGTTCGTATAACAATGGAGAAAGGGCAAGGGTATCTGGGTATGGTGGAGCAGACCTGTAATCCCAGCTCTGGAGGCCGAGGCAGGAGGATTGCAACTTTCTGAGGCCCTAAGAAACTTAGTGAGACCCTGTCTATAAATAAAAATAAAAGGGGGCCGGGCCGCGAGCGGCATGGAGGAGGCGGAGGCCGCGGTGAGCGGGGCTGAGCCGTGCGGGCCCGAAGGGCGCCCGAGCGGGGCCCGGGGCCCCTGAGCGATTCCTGAAGTCATGGATTGGCCGGGACAGTGGTGACTCCCAAATCCGGTATGGATGACTGGAAGCCCAGCCCCCTCATCAAGCCCTTTGGGGCTAGGAAGAAGCGAAGCTGGTATCTTACCTGGAAGTATAAACTGACAAATCAGCGGACCCTGCGGAGATTTTGTCAGACAGGGGCCGTGCTTTTCCTGCTGGTGACTGTCATTGTCAACATCAAGTTGATCTTGGACACTCGGCGAGCAATCAGCGAAGCTAGTGAAGACCTGGAGCCAGAGCAAGACTATGATGATACCCTCGGCCGCCTGGAGCCCCCACGGCGCAGAGGCAGTGGACCCCGGCGAGTCCTGGATGTGGAGGTGTACTCAAGCCGCAGCAAAGTATATGTGGCAGTGGATGGCACCACAGTTCTGGAGGATGAGGCCCGGGAGCAGGGCCGGGGCATCCATGTCATGGTCCTCAACCAGGCCACGGGCCATGGGATGGCAAAACGTGTGTTTGACACATACTCACCTCATGAGGATGAGGCCATGGTGCTGTTCCTCAACATGGTGGCGCCCGGCGGAGTGCTTATCTGCACCGTCAAGGATGAGGGCTCCTTCCACCTCAAAGACACAGCCAAGGCTCTGCTGAGGAGCCTGGGTAGCCAGGCTGGCCCTGCCCTTGGATGGAGAGACACCTGGGCCTTCCTGGGACGAAAAGGAGGTCCTGTCCTTGGGGAGAAACATTCTAAGTCGCCTGCCCTCTCCTCCTGGGGAGACCCAGTCCTGCTGAAGACAGATGTGCCACTGAGCTCAGCTGAAGAGGCAGAGTGTCACTGGGCTGACACAGAGATGAACCGCCGCCGCAGGCGCTTCTGCAGCAAAGTTGAGGGATATGGGAGTGTGTGCAGCTGCAAGGACCCCACACCCATTGAGTTCAGCCCTGACCTGCTCCCAGACAATAAAGTCCTCAATGTACCTGTGGCTGTCATTGCAGGAAACCGACCTAATTACCTGTACAGGATGCTGCGCTCTCTACTCTCAGCCCAGGGGGTGTCTCCACAGATGATAACAGTTTTCATCGATGGCTACTATGAGGAACCAATGGATGTGGTGGCGCTGTTTGGTCTGAGGGGCATCCAGCATACTCCCATCAGCATCAAGAATGCCCGCGTGTCTCAGCACTACAAGGCCATTCTCACTGCCACTTTCAACCTGTTCCCGGAGGCCAAGTTTGCTGTGGTTCTGGAAGAAGACCTGGACATTGCTGTGGATTTCTTCAGTTTCCTGAGCCAGTCCATCCATCTGCTAGAGGAAGATGACAGCCTATACTGCATCTCTGCCTGGAATGACCAGGGGTATGAACACACAGCTGAGGACCCAGCACTGCTGTACCATGTGGAAACCATGCCTGGGTTGGGCTGGGTGCTCAGAAAGTCCTTGTACAAGGAGGAACTAGAGCCCAAGTGGCCCACTCCAGAAAAGCTCTGGGACTGGGACATGTGGATGCGGATGCCTGAACAGCGCAGGGGCCGAGAGTGCATCATCCCTGATGTTTCCCGATCCTACCACTTTGGCATCGTGGGCCTCAACATGAATGGCTACTTCCATGAGGCCTACTTCAAGAAGCACAAGTTCAACACGGTTCCTGGTGTCCAGCTTCGGAATGTGGACAGTTTGAAGAAAGATGCTTATGAAGTGGAAATTCACAGGTTACTCAGTGAGGCTGAAGTTCTGGACCACAGCAAGAACCCTTGTGAAGACTCCTTCCTGCCAGACACAGAGGGCCACACTTATGTGGCTTTTATCCGAATGGAGAAAGAGGATGACTTCACTACCTGGACCCAGCTTGCCAAGTGCCTCCATATCTGGGACCTGGATGTACGTGGCAACCACCGGGGTCTATGGAGATTATTTCGGAAGAAGAACCACTTCCTGGTGGTGGGGGTCCCAGCCTCCCCTTACTCAGTGAAGAAGCCACCATCAGTCACCCCAATTTTCCTGGAGCCACCCCCAAAGGAGGAGGGAGCCCCGGGAGCCGCTGAACAGACATGAGACCTCCAGGACCCTGCAGGGCTGGGTACTGTGTACCCCCAGGCAGGCTAGCCCTTCACCCCATCCTTTAGGATTTTGTAGATGCTGGTAAGGGCTGGGGCTGGTTTGTTTTTAACATGAGACTTAATTACTAACTTGAAGGGGAGGGCTCCCCTGTTGTTGAGTTTAAGGTCTATTTATTTACTTCCTTGTCAGAGAAGGGCAGGACAGTACCTGGGAATCTTTGGGATCCCTGGGAAGCTGATCTTTCCCCTTGTACGTCCCCTCCTCCCAGGCCTGGCTCAGAATCTAACCTATTTATTGACTGCCCTGGAAGCCTTGGAAATAGGCCAGAACTGTAGGGCTTTGATTCCTTTTGGGGCAGAAATACTGCCCTGAGGGTGGGACTGGCTCTTACTCAGGAAATTGCTGTGCCCAACCCATGAACAGGCCCAGGTAGGGTCCATATGCTGACACAGAATCGCTCAGAGACCCTCTGACACTGAACCAGGCCTCCTCTCAGCTTCCTCTTTGTCCAGGTCTCTGAAGCTGGATAAGGTGATCATTGATTAAAAAAGGAGAAAACCTGAAAAAAAAAAATAAAAAAATAAAAACAGGCTTGAGATGTGGCTCAGTGGTTAAACACCCCTAGATTCAGTCTCTGGTATCAAAAAAAGAAGAAAAAAATAAAGAAAAAGAAAGAATGAAAGAAAAAAGGAAAGGCAATATGCAAACTAGCCTCCCGAGACTGTAGGAGAGCCAGAGCTAAAACAGCAAGAGAAGAAAAGAGACACAGAGTGAAACTGCGGCAGAGCCAGCCTAGGGGTGGCACGTACCCTGAAATGTCCAGATGAAGGGAGCAGAGACGATCATCATCACAGCCATAATGGAAAATATTTCCTTAGTGTATAAACATCCCAGATGTTAGTGGAAAAACCCTGAAATCCAGAATAGAGAATATCATATAAGCAACAGACTGAGAGTGATAGTTTACTCAAAAAGAGTGATCAGATGCAGTTTCACTCACATGGCTTTTCTAGAAAATTACTTGAAAACCTACTCCATAGGACATTTAAAAGAATCAAAATCAAGTCAATAATAAGGTTCAATATATGTGTTTTTTTTTAAATAATGACAAAATTAATATAGATGATAAAAAGTTTTTTTTAAATAATGAATTTAAAAAAAAGCTTGAGTAACTGGTTCTGCAATAGATTGGATCTATCCTATTTTTAAAGGTAAGAGGAAAAGTAAAGTGAAGACATGCTGAAATTCTTATTTTAATCACAGGGTAGTTGAAAGGTCTTGTTTTATTCTGACTGTGATATTAGATGAACTCAGATTAAAGTATATATTTCATTAAATTGAAAACTAACATGAATACTGAACACAGGATACTCATTTTTCAAATCACCATGGAAGACGAAGCAACGAAGATAAATAAGTGGCCAGAAGTTCGTATAATCAGAGGGGTTGCAAAAAACAGCCCAGAAAGCGTGTCCTCAGAGCTGCTTCAGGAGTTCCTACTGCTGATCCTTGGCTGGAGAACTTTTCCAGGATTGCTTCCCAATCTGCTTCCCATTAATTGTGATATGGCCTTTGTCTCTAATTTGCCTCAGTATAGTAGCCCACTCCCTGACCCTGGAAGATTAGCGCTTTGATCTGGGACTGCATTGATCTGGTAATTCCTTGAAAACAACACTTCACAATATGATCTCTTGGTTCAGTCCACAGTAAACCATGGAGAGGAAGCTTTGATGCATTTCCATCCTGGAAAGGCAGAAATCCCTCCAGCTCCCACCCTTGGAAGGTAGGGATTAGGTTTAGAATGGGCTACAACGTGAAATAAAAGTGGTGTCAGTCCTCTCAGTAAAAGATGAGAAAACAAATCTAAGTACATTCTGAATAGAAGCAAATATAATGGCTCTGTATACATTGGTATATATATATCACAAAATAATTTTCAAATATACTTTTTAAAAGAAGATTAGTAAATACATATTGGGTAATAACAAGATATTTTCAGAAAGTTGGTGTCTCAGGTCAGGCTGCCTTAGCGAAGTGCCACAGGCTGACGGCCTTAAACACTGGGAATTTATTTTCTCATAGTTCTGGGAGCTGGAAGTTCAGGATTGAGGTCCAGAGTTGGTTTCCCTGAGGCTTCTCTCCTTGACTTGCAGGTTGCTGTACTGTTGTTACCCCTCATGACTGTCCCCCTGTGCATTTGCACCCCTGGTGTCTCTTCTTATGAGGACACCACAGTCATATTGAATCAGGGCCTACCCTAATTAACTTGATGCCATAGGAAAAGACCCTATTGCCAAGAAGGTCACATTCACAGGTAGTGGGAATTAGTACTTTAAAATGTCTTTTTGGAAGATACAATTTAACCAGTAGCAACAATGTTAATTTTTTAAATGGCTTCAAAGCAAAAATATAATCTAGGGCACTCCCAGAAATGTATGGTCTAAAGATAAAGCCCAAGGTGTGAGTGTAAACTCTTCTAAAAAACTGAGAAGCGTCAAAGGTTGGTCTTCAGCCAGGCAAAAGGCCCTTTGAAGAGATTAAAGATATGCTTCACAGACCCTCTCCAACTATAGAGCTTCTAGGAGGGTTAAGGCCACTATCTGAAGCCTTATTCATACACCAATGGTGTAATGTCAAAGAGACTTCTGATGTGGCTCTTGTCTAATTGATTGAACCTCCACAAAGATTCACAGGAGACGCACAAAGTTTTTAAAAGAATTGTATCAGCCAAGCCTCTTTCAGCTCATGCTGGCAGGGGCTGAGACAGTACAAAATGAATAGAGCCTGTGAGCCACCAAGCTTCTGCCGTCAGGAAGCAGACTGAGAAAAGCATCCAGCCATGAATACATGCTGCCTTATACGAAAAAGGAAGGATGCCTCAGAAGGAGGAACCAAGAGCCCAGGGGTGGAGCCAAGAGCCATAGAGAATAAATTTCCCCTGAGTTCAAGTAGGACTGAGGCCTAACTAGGGAAAGTTGCCTGGCTGAGTTCAGATTGTTTTAATTAAAAAAAAAAAACAAACAAACAAAAACAAAAACAAAACTTTTTTATTTTTTATATCAACAGATAAAATCCCACTGATCTTAATGAGACAGACTCATTTAATGCCTGCTGTGAAAACTCTGTGGACTTGCCCAGAAGTTCTGTGACCTGAGAGGCTAGCCCTCTTCTTCCCCCACCTAGTGAAATTCCGTACACTGTTTTCATCGTAGATGTGCTTTCCACATTCCTCAGCACAGGAGTCATGTTTATTCTACTTGGTGTCCATTTTGATTGGAGCAGAGATGATCATTGTTAGATCAGCCTGGACCAATCAGATCCTCTTTTCTGTAACTAGGGAATTGGGACCAAACCTTTAGTTATGTTTTGTGGCCATTGGCATCCTAAGATGTCCCCAATCTCCATTTAGTTGGATATAATGCTAATTTAGTTATTTTGGAAAAGTACTGGCTGATGCTACTATTAATACCTTCTGAGGAATGGACAACAATCTGGTCCTTTGCAAAAAGACCACTATGACTTTTGAGTTCTTCCATGATTTCAGAATTTCTATAGACCACTAATGCCTATGTTCCTTCTTTTTGAACAAGAGCAGTTATCCTGTCCTGTCCCACCACTATACGTTGGCCATGTGGAGACAGGTAACTTGCCTCTTTAGTTCAAAGCAAGAGGAATCCTATGTGAGGAATAGCACTTGACTGGGTTTAGATGATGAGATTCTGGAATTTGAGCCAATGCTATAGTGGTATAAAACCCTCGTGGGAAGGTGTGAATGTGTGTTTGGAGGAATGTGAATCATGGTGGCCAGAATGGCCAGGATCCAAGATGGCCGTCAGAGATCTTTCCTCCTGATAGTCAAACCCTTGTATCGTCCCCACATTGTACACAGGTTGGTCTGTGGGAGTAATAGAGCACACAGAGGAGAGGGTGTCTGCTGAGAGCGGGTTATAAAAGATACTGTGGCTTGTGCCTTAGTTTCTCTATCTTTGTCTCTCTGTCTTCCTCTTGTCTTTCTTTTTATTCTTCTCTCTACCTCTTCCTCTCTCCCTCTCTCTTCCATAGTTCATCCTGGGGAAAACCATGTCATGAACAGCCCATGTAGCAGGGAACTGAAACTTCTTACCCAAAGTTCTGTGAATGATCCTGTGAGAGTGTCCTCTAGCCCTAGTCAATTCTTCAGAGCCCACAAGGACTGGGACAGTCAACAACTTGACTACAGCTCACGTGACAGCCTGAGCCAAAAGCACCCAGCCAGGCCTGGGTTCTTGACCCCCTGAGACACAATGTGTAACATATGAGTCTTTTTTTTTTTTTTTAATTTTAAGATGCTGAATTTGGAAATAATTTGTTGCATAGACATAGATAACAAATACAGCATCCCAAATAAAAAATGATTCAAGATTAGTATTAAGATATACATTTTTCAAAACAAACTATATATATTTTTTCTAAACCAATATTTCCACTTAATAATATAGTGTAATGTCCTTTTATGCCAAAAGAACATGACTGCATTGGATTCCGACGCTTCTTGTTTTTCAGTAATTATGAACTGTGCCATACTGAATCCTCAACAGCGCAGTGTTTAGACTTTATATACTGCCAAATTGTTCTCTACAAATGTTGAACCAAATTGTACTTTCCCAGCACCATATCAGGGTTTAAATCTCTCCATGCTTATTTTGCTAAAACATTCTCCAACATTCTATATTCAGGAATCCATCATATTCTTTTCATATGTTCATGTTATCCATACTAGAAAAATAGATCCACTGTAAAATATCTGCTTTAATTCTATTTCAGCATAGTATTGGATGCTCATTGGAACTAATGAAACATTCAGAAGTATATTTTCTACCTATAATTTTTCCCTACCAGAGGAGTTGTTTATTTTTTCCTAAGTGTCTGTTTTGTAGTTCGGAGAGAAGAAAACCTTTACACACACATGGATGTTTTCTGAGTATAAAATAAACATTAGGCATGTAGTGTGGTGGGGAAAAAATGAGGGTTTTAGAATCAATGAGGATTTCCCACTTCTGAGATGTAGTTTCTCCTTTATAATTTGGGATAAGAAAAATGAGTGTAATACAAACTTGCTGCATGGATGTAATGAGATGAAACATGTAAAAAACTATTTTAAAAAGCTATAAGTCTTACCCTCATGTTAATTCTTTTAGTTACTGCCATTGATGTAACCATTTTTATGGTCATTGCAATTAAGTATCGTTGAGCTGGATTTTCTAGGGCTAGGGGTGTGGGAAGACTGCAGACATTGTTAAGCAAGGCTCCTGCCTGAGCTAGGTCACATCTAGTTTTAGCCCAAGGCAAAATGAAATAGGTACTAAGATAAAACCTGCAAAGTTAGAGAAAGAATGTGCACTTCTATATTCTAGTGTATATTTCTGGCCCAGTTTTTTGCTCAGCTAGCTATAGACTGGCATCTGTCCACCTGTATTATTTTGGAGCATCATGAAATAAAATGATTCTGTTTAGCATTTGAACATCTGGCCCAAACAGAGTCTGGACAATAGTCTTTGGGTGTTATCCAAGGAACGGTGATTTCATTG